TCACCAACATGTCATCAACATATACCTCCATGTTTCTACCAATTTGATGCTTAAACATTGCATTCACTAGCCTTTGGTATGTTGCACCAGCGTTCTTGAGCCCAAACGGCATTACTTTGTAACAGTACAAACCTCTATCAGTGATGAAGGCCATTTTTTCTCTATCTGATGTGTACATAGATATCTGGTTGTATCCAAAATATGCATCCATGAAACTTAATAGTTCGTGTCCAGCCGTTCCCTCAACGAGCATATCGATTCTTGGGAGAGGAAAGCTGTCATTCGGGCAAGCTTTGTTAAGGTCGGTGAAATCCACACATAGCCTCCACTTTCCATTTGCCTTCTTCACTAAGACCACATTTTCCAGCCAGTCGGGGTAGTACACCTCATGAATAAAGTCGACTTTTAAGAGCTTTTTCACCTCTTCTGATATAGCCTGATTCCTTTCTGGAACGAAAGTCCTCCTCTTTTGTCTGACAGGTTTAAAGTCAGGATTTACATTTAAGCGGTGCTCCATGATAGTGGGGTCTATACCCGGCATGTCTTCATGCAAATACGTCTCGATTCTTCCTGAGGAATTGAGTAAGTTCATCTTTGATACCTGGGAGGAGTTAAGACCCTATACTCACTTTTTTCTCGGGCTCACCATCACCAAGGATGACCTCTTCTAGCTATTCTGTAGGTTCCGCTCTATGAAAGTCTGGTCTATCTTTCCCTTCCAGCCCTTTAATCTTAAATGCCTCTTGCGATTTTGTTTTCTGAGAGAGGCGACATAACATTCGCGAGCTATTGTTTGGTCCCCTCTTAGCTCTCCCATACCATATTCAGTTAGGAAACGCATCAGGAGATGGTAAGTGGACGTGATTGCTTTCATGGCATTCAATGTTGTCCTCCCCAGGATAAAATTATATGATGATAGGCAGTCCACCACTACAAAGTCCACCATTACAGTGACCTGCTTTGGATTGTCTCCTGCAGTAACTGGTAGGGTAACTGCCCCCAGTGGATATACTTTGTCGCCTGAAAATCCCACCAGTGGTGACTTCATGGGTCGGAGCTTCTCTCGGCCAATTTTCAATTTCTCGTACGCCCTAAGAAATAGTATGTCAGCCGAGCTACCATTGTCTATCAATATTCGTCGAACAGTGAAATTAGCAACGACCATGGAAACTACCAGAGGGTCATCATGGGCCTGGTGAATTCCCTTGTCATCTTCTTCAGAAAAGGTTATGACCGGCTCCTCAACTCGAGGTAATTTTGTTGGAGGACTTGTCATTCCAACTTCATTCACCTCTGAAAAACTCCGAATTCTCCTAGCATGAGCCCTCCGAGCCGAACTTGTCTCACCACCACCAGCGAAGCCACCTGATATAACTTTGATCTCACCCATTGGTTGGTGTTGAAGAGGGCGATCATTTCGGCCCTCCCGGGCTGGGTTGGAGCCTCCTTTTCCATTTCTAGTTGTGAATTTACGTAAATGACCTTTACGAACAAGGTTCTCGATCTGGTTTTTGAGGTCGAAACAATCTTCTGTGTTATGTCCATGGTCCCGGTGAAACCTACAGTATTTACCTAGAGACCTCTTTGTTGGATCAGCTTTTAGCTTTGGCGGCCATTTCAATGATGCGTCATCTTGAATCTGCAGAAAGACTGGCTCTACAGATGTATTTAGGGGGTATAGTTATTATACCTGCCTGGGCTCACTGGGCGGCGAGACGATCTGTCAGCTTGGTTGTTTGAGAATTTCTTGTACTTCGATTCCTTTTCCTCCCTAGTGTTAGGTGCTGGCCTCTTCTTCTCCGACCTCTTATCTTCACCATCTTTGTTTTTTCGTGCATTCATAGCATCCTCAGTGTTCATGTGCTTCCACGCTCTAACCATCAACTCTGTCATGCTTGTAGGGGCTTCTTTTGATAAGGAAAATAGGAACTTAGAAGTCTGTAATCCTCCCATAAAGGCTGTGAGGGCAACCTTGTCGTCCACCTCTTTTACCTGCAGCATATCAGCGTTAAAACGACTTATGTAACCACGGAGAGGCTTTCCCTTCTACTGTTTCACATTCAATAAGTGTGTTGCTGTCTCCTATGCCTCTGCCCAGCGATGAAGTGTCCAATGAATTGTTTGCTCAACTCATTAAAGATTTCAATGGAGCCTGGCTTTAATTTATTGAACCAAAGACGAGCCCAACTCTTTAGTGTGGTAGGGAAAGCCCTGCACATAATCTCATCCGGTACGACTTGCAAATACATAAGAGCTTTGTAGGTCTCTAAATGATCGAGAGGGTCTCGCGTCCCATCGAAGCTCTCAAGAGTTGGCATCTTAAATTTGCTAGGTAGAGGACAACTCATAACATAACAGCGAGGCTAAATGCTAGGTTGGTCTTCTGTACCAGATCGTTCACTGTGGCCTGGCCCTTCCCTTTCATTGCTTACATGACGTCTTTGACCCTAGTTCTCAGATCTTGCATCTACAGATTGAAATAAGTGACGTCTTCAGTCTTGTCACCAACACAACCAGAGGTACCTGCACGGAGCCTGGTATTATTCCGTTCAAGAGACCGATGGTGATGGCTTCTCTGTTGACCCCCTATTTGACTAAGCTCAGCGTCGTTGTCAGTCCTACGGGAGTCATTATTGGGTACTTCATTATTATCCACCTCATTAAGGTCGGCTAAGCGTTGTAGAATCATTGAATTTTTCTGGACTAATTGGTTCATTCCCTTATTTAAGGTTTAAACCTATTGTTCCAACGCTGTGACGCGTTCCTAATCGTTTGGGACGGCGGGGGGTTGCCTCGTCGAGTCCCTTTGATCAGAAGTTTGCAACGCTTCGTATTCGCCAGCAACCAGACCAGATCACAATCGAACCATACTTTATTTAGAGAACTAAAATCGTTCCCACAGACGGCGCCAACTGTTGATGATGGATTCTGCGTAACCCGGATCTGATCTAACTTCCTGGACAGAGAGAAAAAAAGGTGATCCTACAAGCACCGGTGTGTTACCGGTGGAGTAGGCTCCAACGAATAAGTTAGTGTGCGAACTAATCTCTTAAGAGAAATCAAGAACTTGAGTTAGGGTTTTTTGCGTACCTCCAAACGTTGATTACCCCGCCTTTTTTATAGGGCTTAGGTTAAGATGTCACGTAGAATTACCTTATCGTAATCTGTAGACTTAATCCTCATCGTAATCTTTAATCCTTATCACAATCTTTAATCCTTATCGTAATCTGTAAAGCCTATCTCAATCTGTAATCCTTATCGTAATCTGCAGAGCCTATCTCAATAGTGCGTTAATTTAGCAATCTTCCCTTAATTATGGATATTTAAATTATACATCCATCAATGTCAACAACTTGATCCTCACCTTTTAGAGGCTTGCAACCATAGTAAGTAAAAAATAATAATAATAAAAAATAAAAATAAATATAAAAAAATTTACCATCATTTGTGATGTGAGCAATTAGTTACAGAAGGCACCGATTTCACTGAGATTAGTTTTATTTATTTATTTATATTATTATTATTATTATTTTGCAGGACACACCCTTTCATCAAGTTACTCATTTAGATTAATTACATATAACCCTCAAAAAAAAAAAAAAAAAAAAAAAAAAAAAAAAAAAAAAAAAAATTGCATATTACCCCCATTGTAGGCTAAACAATAGAACCTCTTAATAATTTAACAAGTTTTGTGCAACTACATTAAGATAAAGTCAGTCAATACAATACAGCTACCCTTATTTTCTATTCATTGTTTGTGGTCAGGTTATGTCGAACAAAATAAACTAAATAAATAGTAACACCACTTCATAACTAATACTACAATGGAGGATCAATATTTGGTGAGACTCAATGATCAGTACCACTCTTAAAGTGTAAATCAACTGTAGAGTCCTAGATGCATCAATTTGTAATTTTTTAGGGTTAATTTATTAACACTCTTTTAGGTTTGATCAAATATTACCCTCAAGTATCTTTCTAAAATAATTATCACTCACACCCCAATCGTTATTTGCATAATTATGACACAAAGGCATCAAGACTTCGAACGTCACCATTGACTCCGGCCGCAATCGCTGGTTCGACGTCTTCCTTCCCACCAAACCACCACCGTCTGACAACTTCCTCCCCCTGATTGTCTTCTTTTACGAGGACCATGAATATCTACCACTACCCCATCACCGCCAATTTATTAGTTCAGCAAAAAATACCAATGCCATCGTTGCAATGTCCAACCGATCTAGATGCCTTCGCTGTCGTCTTAACATCGGTTGCAATTGGATTTGTAGGTGGGTGAATTACTGAGGGGTATACTGGTCATTTAAGTAACATGATATTTTGTAATAAATGGGATTAAAAAATTAGGGGTAAAGTTGTCTTTTCTCATGTTTTTAACAAAGATTTTGATGGAAAAATATAAATGGTCCTGAGTAATAATTATTTTCGAAGGTAATATTTAACTAAATTTGATGGAACGTCAGTGAAATTGACTCAATTTTTTAACATTTTACTTAGTTTATTTTAATCATGGTTATTGTGATTGTGTCCATTTACATAAAAAGAAAATTTATTTTATTATTTGTAATATTTTTAAATGCCTTTAAAATGGATATTATATATAATAAATAAATAAATAATAGGCGTAGCTGAATTTTTTATTTCAAATTTTAATTAATATAACGTATCTATATTTAAATTTTTACATCTATATTTTTTTCAGCTGAATTTTTAATAAAATCAAATTATATTCGTAGGCTTACAAATTATATGCTATGCACGTTATGGACGGATCAATTTGTAATATTCTATCATTTTTCTACTCTAATTAAAAAACAAAAGATTGGAGAAAAATAATTTAAAAAATAAAAAATAATTTTTGGTGAATTTTTTTTTTAACCTGACAAACAATTTTTGGTGGATTGAGTTGATAACTTCAGTATGGTAATTGGTTGGCCGATGATATTTTATAGCTCCACAATTAATCTACTATTATTGTTTCTCCTTTTGGCATGTGATCCACAATTTAATTGGACTGCACTGCAGCTACCTATATTGATTATTGGGAAACCTATTTATATAAGTCAATAGTTTGTAGTATATTTTTTTGTCGATATAGAGAGAGCATAGAAATATTTGTATAGGCGTGAGAGAGATGATTGGACTGACTCTAGCTTCTCCGTGGATTTCGGGAACATTACCAATTTATTCTTCATCAACATCATCATCATCAACGACCACTTCGCTATCTTCTTCTTCATTTGAAGCTGCAAATTTCTCAAAGCCCCAATTGTGCCCACCTTCAACATCATCATCATCTTCGTATAATCGTCGTGTGATTTGTCGATCCCAATTAGCAAATGACCTCAAATTTCTGTTGCACGATGCCCTCGACTCTTCTGGCGTCGATACCACCCATGCCAGAGTATGATGATTTTCAATTTTTTTTTTAATATTTTTTATATTGTTTTTTTTATAATAATACTAGCTGAATTTATATTACCCACAAACATCACCATCATCATCAACAATATCTGTTTGATTTTTGTTAAAGCTCTGATTCTGATTTCTAATTATGATGCAAGACTCGTAAATTTGGGTCCAGTTTGATTCCACAGTATTTTCTTCTTCTTCTTCTTATATTCTGAATTTGTTACCCATAATGCAATTTTTGTTTTTCTTCTTTAAAATTCATTATTTCTGATTATGGTGCAAGACTCAGAGGAGATGAATTTGACAGTCTGCTTCTTCTTCTTCTCTATCTCTCTTTGTGGTAATATTGTTGTGCTTTCTCGCACTGATTGTAATTTTGGTGATTGTCAAATAAAGACATAGAACCCTTGGGGATTGTCTGGGATGAATTTTATATTTTCCCCTGATTATTATGTACAATTGATTACATTTTTTACTGAATTTAATTAACGTTAATGATTGCTTTAATAGGTGAATTTGCTATATAGGCAAAATAAATGTCTTTTTCTAACTTCTATTTTTCCCACTCTAGTCAATTGTTGATCCTGTTATGAAAAGGTGAATATGAATTTGTATACTTTGATGCATTTAATATATCATTTTCTTTTTCTAAATTCAAGTTCTTATGTTCCTTTTTTTTTTTTTTTTTTTCCCAATTTAAAAGCAAAATTGTGTTAATTTAGGTGAATTTGAAAATTGTTATATTTTCTCTTTTTTATTTATATTTATATTGTATTTTTTGAACTGAATATGATTTTTAATTTTTAAATAGTTGTTTAATTTTGGTGTTTTTGATGCATTATCCTGACGGCAGGCGGCTAGGGAGGGTTTCTGCTCTCAGATTAAAAGATTATCTGATATCGAGAGGCACACAAGTATTAGCATAAATAGAGGGGTTGATTTGGGTAAGACAGCTCTTTATATAGCAGCAGAGGATGATTCCCTAGTTTCGCACTCTTCAGTTCCTCTTCCCGTGGATGCATTTATTGACAGATTGGATGATCTTTGTATGGACTACTGCTCTCACTATAGCGCTTCGTTTAGATCCTCGCCTGATATTTTTCTGGAGTGCCTAGAGAGATACTTGTATGTTAATAAGGTATACATGTTAATATCTCACTTTAGTTGGAGTTGATTAAGCATTCCTTTCTATTTTATTATCAGACAACTATTGCTGGAATGAAAGATTTGTTATACAAAGCAGAAGTGTAAAAAAATGAGTGTTACTAATCTATAGTTCATGGTCGGTTTTGTGCTCACTTTAACCGATGACCACAAAAGAGCACATGTATATGATAGAAGTAGTTATTTGAACCCATTATAGGACATGTAAAATTTAAAACTAATACCGGTAAACATAAGAGCAAATTTATATGATAGAGATAGTTATTTAAATTGAAAAATTAAATGGGATAACCATATGATCAGTGATTAGGGCACCCTCGAGGTTCTGGAAAACTGAGTCACTTCTTATTTTATACGTGACATTCTGTCAACTGTGGGAGTTTAATGCCTGCTCGCTTTTTATGGCAAATTTAGTTATAGATAAATGTTCCTTTTTTTTTGCATTGTCATTTCACAAGATTGTGAAAAGGCATATGGTGCGTTAAGCTATATGAGCTATGTTTGTTATAATCTTTGGTATCAATTGTCATGGCAAACTCTTATTCTTAGAGAACATTGATCGCTGAAGTCTCAGGGGTTGGAATAAATTCTTTGCATTTGGAAGCTTTTTAGTGTAGTCACCACAACACCAACCCCCACCCCACCCCCACCCCCCGCGCGCGCGCGCAAATGGTTAAGCAATATATATATGTATGTATGGAAATTTACAAGGCCAAATTTTTAGGACATCCCAACAACCAGGAAGCCCAAGAAAAAATCCAAAACAATTACAGCCCAATGCAGCTGACATTTAGCCCAAGAGAAACAGCTTTGCTTAGGAACCCAACAAGCTTCAACCCTAAATCCCTAACAGAAAAACGATGAGCATATACCCTTCGATAACTGCCGGTGTAGCATATTATGATGGGTATGAACAATCCGGTGTAATCTGTGGTGGGTGGTGAGTGATCACCCACGCTGTCTAGTCTGGAGGCTGAGGTGGTGGACAAGAGCGAGATGGATTGAAAGTCCATTCATTCGCGAGGGCAACGAGAGATTCCTTGGATGATGATCTGAGCATGCTAGCAATGGAGTTAGCAACAAGATGTAGGACTGCCTGTTGTGATGAAGGTGAGTTCCTATATAATCGATTGTTCCTTTCGCGCCAAATAGTGTATATGAATACTGTGAGAGCAAGCTTGCAGAGACAGATTGTAGGGCAATTGTTGATCCAGTGATGACTTGCCCAGTGTACAAATTGGGGCCAATTGGTGATTCCGGTGTAAAATCGGCATTTATCCTGTATGAATTTCCATAAAGGCTTTTTAGTGTAGTAAACATACAAGGAAGGATAATGTTAGAGGTCTTCCTTTTTGTTATTACTTGTATCTTAGTTTGTTTTCTAGCAGCTATTGAACTTTATTTTTTTTTTTTTTTTGGTTTCTTGAATTTTAGTTTACTTTCTTTTAGATGTTCTACTCATTATTTTGAGTCCAACACGACAGTGGTTGACACAACAGAATGGGAGTGGGTGAGTGAGGTACATGAACTATAATTGGTGCCATACTACTACCTTATGAGGTGTATTTTATCACTCTAACAGTGGCATTTCGACACCCTACCTATAGAGACCAATTTTATACAACTGGGGTGTGTGAGGAAAGGTTTGATAATGGCTAATGTATTAGATTGAAATCATACCAAACTATGGAATCAGATGCTTTAGCTAGGCTTGCCAACAACTTCCAATTGGTTGTCTAAAGGACAACATGTATGATTCCTGTGTATATGGGTTGAAAGATAAAGAGGGAACTCCTCTAATCAGATTAAGTGATCTGTAGGAGGTTGTTGGATTGGATGGGGAACAGCCAAGGCGAACTACACAATGGATGAAATTGATATTATGCTGACTGAAAAGTCTCGGCATTTTCACACCCTAATACCATAGGATAGGTGTACTTTTTGGGTTGAGTCTGGATTCTTCATTTCAATAATAGCTCCTTTACCAGTATCCAATTTCCTTTCTTTACATGTTGATAAGAGAAGGACACAACATAGATTCCATCTCAAGAAATAGCTGGTATAAACTCCCTCCTCAGTAATATGGAATCTTGATGGGGCTCTGATCCTTCCAATCCTCAGATTGATGTCAAAGATGGTTGATGGTTCAGTAGCATGGAATATTAACAAGGAAATGATATTAAGGAGGCTCTCTGTCTAGGGAGGCTCTTTTAAATATAACATCAGTCACTAGATCTTAAGACATAGTGACTCATAGTGAGGGTGGGGAATTTGTCTGTTCACATCACTGAATGTTATCTTGCCATTGAGCTTTTTAGTTGCCCGCGGCACGTGCCCTTTTGGCTAATATGCATTGTACACAATTTTAGCAGCTATATAGTGTTCCTTAGTGATAGCCTGGTCATTGAGGACAGAAGCTGATCTAAGGACCAATTAATTGCAATGCTGTTTTAAAATGCTTTTGCTGATTTGTCAGATATGACAAAGATGAGGTAAGTTTTGAAGCCTAATAGTTGCTTAGGTTTTGAGCATGCCGAAGCTTGTTTCCTTCCTTCCTTCTACAAAGAACTTTCTTTTTTTTTTTTTCTTTTCATTTTCACTTTATTTAGGTTTGATCATGCTTACATTTTTTATTTGATGCTATATCTTGAGATTCTGGTCACAAGATGTAAAAGGTAGAATTTAATAAGTTTTTCCTACTAATGATGCCTTAAAATTCAAATATTAGATTCATTAGTCTTTATAAATTCAACAAGTTCATTAAGTATCATTTAAAAAAGTTGAAGGTATAAATATTAAAGTTGCACCCTCTCTATTAGCTTAAGCTTTTAGAGTAGATGGGTAGTTAATATGGTATCAGAGCCAAAGGTCTCGAGTTCAAACCTCACCGTCACCCTAATTAAAAATTGAAAAACACGTGTAGGACCAAAAAGAAGGCCACACGTGAGAGGGGTGTTGAAGGTATAATTATTAAAGTTGCACCCTCTCTATTAGCTTAAGCTTTTAGAGTAGATGGGTAGTTAACAAAAAAAATAATCCAAATTGAGAGTGGCGTAGTCGGAAATCCAGTAGCCAATTCACAGAACAAAGGACCTAGACGGGGAAATAGGTCTTTCAACTTACTTTACATTCTTACCATTGGAAAGCCGCTTGAACTATCTGAACTTCTTGCTTCACTCAATTTGTCTCACAATAACACACTGACTCAAAAAATGAAGGTGAAAATTAAAACGCAACGATTTTGTTATATGAAATTTTCCAACACAAATATACTGAGTTTTATATTTATAGAATTTTGGGTTTAAAATGTGTATAATAACATTCAAAGGCATTGCTTGACTGTAACAAAATTCACTGCAATTGCCGTGTTGGCTACGTAAATATAGAGCCACTGGATCTATTACCGGTATGTTAGTTAAAACAATTTGAAACCTTATTGCTTATGGATATTGGGTAGATATCTGGGTATTGCTTTTGACTTGGACAAATGCATGCAACACTTGTGTTGAGATTGAGGTTGTTGGAAACATTTTGGAGGATATGGAGTGAAGACAGTGGCATTCAGTTCCATGTGAATCATGCATGGAGAAGTGGCCATTTGTCCTATTTTAAGATTGGGATGTGCATTCTAATATTCATTATAGTTCCTCTTGTTGCTATGCCTGTGAGACATTTGCCATCAAGGAGATGGATTGTGGTGCTATGCCTGTGACACATTTGCCAGTAGAGAGAGAAATTGTGGTAATAATGGGTCACCTCGATGTTATACTTTCTGAGATCACATATTATTTGCAATAGTACACATGCTGTGATGGAACCACACATCTGCGTACATCTTCTGGGACATAATATAAAATTTTGTTTTATTGGATTACATACTGCGAGGAATCATACAATTGGCATCTTTTTCTCAACAATTTATAAATAATGGTATATTTTTGTTCTTAAAAGAAAAGTTACAGCACAGTGTATGTCCCTTGTACATGGGGTGTTGAGAACAAGAAACTGGAGACGATGTAACCTTTGACTTTATTTTGCACAAAGTGGTTGCTCTCAGAATCGGAACATATTTTGGTTCTCCTTCGAAGTAATTTATTCCAGTACTGCTTTGTGCAAATAAAGGATCACAAACTCTACATTCCGTTCTCTATATGTTAGGAGGGTATTTGTGCAATTGGTGGAAGCAGAACATGTATCCGTTTGGAAGCTCAAACATATAGTGCAGCTAAATTTAAGGAAGAATCTAACACAACTTCTGTTTGCAGCTTGACCTTTCGATCTAAAACTTCCCCCTGTTTTGCATAGGTGGGGAGGGTAAGTTTTAGACATAAGGATATTGAGCTTTTTTATAACTTCTGATTGCAGCTTGACCTTTTGATTTCCTATGTGGGGACTGGGGAGGGTAAGAATTACAAACAATGATATTGACCTTGTTTACTAGCTGGAAAATTTTAAGTAGCTTAATGCAACGAAGTTGTTCCCTCGTCTGCTTATCTCTAATAAGCTGGCAATCCCAAAGTCATCTGTTTTATTTATTTCTCCACTGCACGGAACTCTATAGTTCCAAGAAAATCAGAATTAAATTAATAATAGAGGTAGAATGAAAAATGCGGGACTTAGGACAGACTCAAACCAATCAATCTCTGTAACTGTATCTGATTTTTCCCCTATTCTCTCTTTTGAACTGAGTAGGCTTGTTCAACAACTCGCCAAGTAATATATATTAATATAAAATTTGAAAATTCAAAGTAGAAAGGCTCGCAGAGATTTATAAATGTACCAAGTGTTACAAAGTTCAGAAACGAGCGCAATAGCAATAAATTTGTGAGTCTCAGAGAGAGAGAGAGAGATTACCAGTCCAAAGTTTTACACAGTAGAATAGCAGTGCACATGCAGTTAACTCCTCCCTCTGGATAAGGTTTCTGCAATTTCTTGGCAATCTTCTGAGGAACCTGATAATTGTGTCTCAGAGAGGGGGAGAGAGAGATTACCAGTCCATAGTGTTACACAGTAGACTAGCAATGAGCATGTACGCTGTATGCATGCAGCCTTGCAGTTAACTCCTCCCTCTGGATAAGGATTCTGCAATTTCTCAGCAATCTTCTGAAGAACCTGATAATATGTTTTCCAACCTCATCCCATTCATGGGTGCGGTGCTTTAACCAATCAGCTTGATTGAATGGCTGTAAATTAGTATAAAAAATTATAAAATACTAACACCTCTTAGCCAGGAACGTAATTCAATATTCTAACCTGAGTCGAGCCAGTGTATTTCTTGAACTAAACATTTGAACCTAATGTCACAAACCCAAATCATATTATTTTTTTCTAGGTTTGCGGTTAGATTCCCAAAATAAATTACAATCATTTTCTTAATTCTCCGTCTGTTGCTTCGTTGTTGTTGTTCCCCCCCCCCCCCCCCCCCCCCCCCCTAGTGTTGCTTCTTTTATTTTTCTTTTTACTTGAAAAATATTTTTTTTATTTTTTACAAACTTCATCTACCTGTCATTAGATTTTCTTAATATATAGAGAAATCCCTTATACGGAGTAATAATTTATGATAATGTTTCACCCCACCCCCCAAATCCCCTATATTCTGTTATTTTATTTGTTGCCATGGTCCTGGTCACAAAGACTCTCTCTTGTCAATCTTTTGGCTAGGTAAAATATTATTCCAGAACTATATTGATTGAATATGTATCTGAAGGGTACCATAGTTGCCTCTTGCTATTTTAGAATAGGACATCTTGTTTTACATATGGAAATTAATATGACAAACTTTTGTAGCTCATTACAATTGAATATCTTTTCTAATTCCTGTTGTGGCTACATCTTTGTCAGGGTTTCAGGAGAACTAATGTGAGGTCTCAAGCAGAGCCACGGGCTCTTTATCTTCATTCTGTATGGAATTCTGCCTCCTATATTTTACTTTTAAAGATTTCGCCTTGTTGGAGAAACAAATGTTTTACTCTTCAATAACAGCTCCACCTTCGTTTGGGACAGGTTTTGACACATCGTTCAGGTTCTGCTCCTATGCTTTCCCTCATATACTCAGAGATACTAAAGATGCTTCGTTTATGTGGTCTCTTGAATTTTGATGTGGAGATTTTTTTCCCCCACGATCTTTATAGTCTTCCTAGAGGTTATCATAAACAAAGAAGTAAGGAGTCTGATCAACCACATATTTTGACATCACAATCCCTTTTGTTGGAGGTAACTTATGTTGTCTTGCCAGCATATGTCAGCATGTGTCCTATCCTTCTACTAAATTCGTGGTAGTTATTCTGTCCAATGAAATATTTGTCTTTTTGCTTATGTCGATGGGCTGTGGTATTTATAATAAATAAAAGTACATGCCACCATTTTCCTGAAATAAATAGTCTAATAATAAGCATTCTATGTGTATCCTCTTAAGAGACAGGACTGGATGAAACTACCTATAATTTAAGATCTAGGGGAAAATAAAATTTATTTCTTTGTTCTTGCGCAAGGAATCAGTATTTTTGAACAATTTTTCATTCTAGAAAGAATTCTCAAAGTCATATTTGCAAATAAAGATGATCATCCTTGAAACATGGATGGAGTGTTAAAGTTTTTTTTATTAATTCTGCCATACTGAAGTCGTGATTTTATGAAGGATTCTGTGATTTTGAGTTTTCCTTTTATGTTGCATAAGTCTGTAGTAAAAAAAAAAAAAAAAATTGAGTTTTTCTTTTATGTTGCACAAGGCAATAGTAAAAAAATCAACATAATCCCATGTCAGTTTCTAGAATTGGGGGTATATAACAAGCTAAAGCTATTGTTTTTTACTCGAGTATGTTATATTAGTATTTCATTTGTCTTTTCTCTGCTCTTTTTTTTTACCTTGTTCAGTTTTTCCTCTGAAACCTCAATAAGATAGCTCATTCACAAATTCTGCAAGACTAATGGAATTGATGCGCCAATTGTGCATTCAAGAATCCATTTTGCAAAACTTATATTCTCTCTCGCTCTTTCTTTGAGTAATGATACATGAACATATACATTTCTTTATCACAAAGATCATGAATTTATGGCAAACAAAATCTCTCTCAAGCCCCCTCTTTTTTGCTTATGAGGAAACATCAGACAAACGTCCATGGGAGTTATAAGCTTGCTGATGATATAATCAATATTAGAAATATGATTCATTTGTGAGTTTAAAGTCTCGTGGCAAAAATATTCTTCTTGTGCAAGCATGCGATTATTTGTATCGTGTCTTCTGTTTGGTTTAGCTTTATTGCTTATGTTATGTTTCTTGTGTAGATCTTGAGAAATTTGAAGGACGCTTTCTGGCCATTTCAACTTGATCATACTAGCAGCTTGTTCTTGAGGGCAGCACGCGCTGCTAACTGCACTGATAGATCAAACAATGTTGAAGAAAGGTAATTCTGCTTATTCCAATTAAGTCTGTCTTTTATCTTATGTAAATTAGGTTTTTATGTGATATTTAGTTTTAACATGTATTTCCTGCCTCCCTTCTACTTTTCGCTTAGGCTGCCTTAAGTTTATACTTTGTTAATTGTAGTGGCTTTGAGCTTGCATCTGCCAAAGCTGCTCAGCATAGGTTAGAGCGTGGTGTTTGGACCAGCGTACGTTTTGGGGATATGAGGCGTGCATTATCTGGTGTGTATCGTCTATGATTTTTTTTTCTCTCCCAGCTTCTACAAGTTGATCTTATGTTCGGTTAATGTTATTCCTTTTGCTAGTTATAATGGCTCTGTCATCCCTACCAATGGCAGTGGTGGGACATGGTGAGTGATATGACATGTGAAAGTGATAGCAGCATTTGGTTTACATTCATGCAACATATGCTAGCAGTTTGGTAACAACAATTCGTAGATTTAGATCAGCTATACTGATTTGAGATGTGCCACCAAAATAGAGCATTTGATTATGATTCTTTGGATGCTGTAGAAATACTTGGGAATTTTCTTAACTTTTAAAATTATAATGGTCAAAGTCATATAGGTAGCGTTTGGGGTGCAATTTTTGGGAGGCTCTGAAAGCACTTCCAAGTCTTGGAAGAAAGGAAGTCCTTTCTGGAAAGAATATGAGTATTAGGTTGAACAAGCAAAAGGTCTTCTAGAAGAAGTCGAATACCTGAGAAGTGCTTTTCAATAGAAGCCATGAGAGTCGCTTTCAAAAATTTGCTTCTCACGGATATAGATGAGATACTCCAATAATAGATTTTAAATACTGATTTTATCCCTATTTTTTAGAGGATCATCCCTTGCAATTCTCTATCCAATATCTGACATCTTGTACCGTGGCTCTGCTCCCCCACTGGAGGCAGCCGCCATTGTTGTGGCCACCTCCCATGGCTCAGAATAATCTGATGCACGATAGTGAAGATGAAAGGCTAGTGATAATTTTTTTGTGTTGTAAATAGTAATATAAAAGTGAAGAGAGAAATGAAACAAGAACACAAAGATAGTACGTGGTTCAGCCACTAGGGCCTACATCCACGGCACAAAGAGCCCAAAGGGCTACATCACTTTTATAATATTCTCTCTTTTATACACAATACAATGGTGGAGGCTCCTCTATGTAGGAGAAGAAATGATGAGAATGGAAAGAGAGAGAAATAGGAAACAACATCAATACTGTAGGATTTTTCTCCACTGATTCCTCTAGTAACATAAATCTTCAATAATAGGAAACAACATTAATAACGGAGAATTTCCTCACTGATTGCTCCAGTAAATCTTCAATAGTTTGCATTCTTCTTTTTCTTGTCGTTCCATTTGATATTTTCAGATTATGATTTTTTTTTTTTTTTCTGCAGTTGTTTTACTTCTCTATTTGATCTGCAAAATTTGAGGCTTTTTCCTTAGAACATAAGTTGGTTTCTTCAAGTCTTTTTGCTTTCTGTATCTGATTGGATTCAAAATAATGTATAATTCTGGTGAATGATTGATTCTGGAATGGTGAGAGATTTATTGGGTTTGAATTCAAAATAATATATAACTCTTGTTAATGAAGGTGACTGTTAGAGGATGCATATTCATGTAATTTCTGATGTGCGCACGCATACACACATTCACATGAAATTATATTATTGCAAATAATAAATACATTTATCCATATGGGACAGGTCCTTATTTGGGAAGTTGGGGTGGGTTCAGGACAGGGCTTTCCTATCCTGAACGTTACACAAATAAAAAGCGCTTCCCAAATCTGCCCCATGTCATAGTTGGGGCCGGTTCGGGGTGCCCCTTATACATATTTTGTTTAGACTAAACAATTTAATCTTGAAGAAATTTGAGATAAATTTTGTAGAAAAATCTAAGTATTGACTAATAGTTAACAATCATAATAACAGAAGTGTTGCTAAATTTGAAATTATCATGAAAAGAAATAATCTCTAGCTAATAATTTTATATATATATATATATATATATAATCGGGGCAGGAGAGGTTTGTGACTTTCTTCCAAAATATGCCCCTACCTATAAGAATAGTGCCACACCCGTCCAATAAGGGTGGGATGGAGTGGGGCCCAGTGGGGCAGATTAAATTGACTTCCCTGGCCCTAATCTACTAAACTTCATCACATAGGAGTTCACCAAAAACAAATTAAATACAATGAATTTTTTCTGCTTTATAAAAGGCAAATTGGTGAAATGTTCCAGCTCAGGCAAAGACTTGGAATCACCTTTCCTTTAACAGACTTCCATGTGAAACTTTCATCTCGTAGTTAGGGCTGTAAACGAGCCGAGCCCGCTTTGCGGCATTCAGGCTCGGCTCGTCACTGGCGAAGGGATGCTCGAGCTCGAATGCCCAAAAAGTTCGGATCGGCGCAGCTCATTTACAGCCTTAGAGATGATGATATGAGAGGTTAATGTGTTTATATATATGGGCTTGGATTTGTGCTTTTTTAATTTGCTTGGACTGGCTTTATTTTATTTGTTAAATAATTGGTTTTACAGGATTGGGTTTAGGGTGGGTTTGGATGGGCTAAAATTGGATCATATTTTTAAAAAGGTTATGTCATGGAATGTGTTGGGCTAGAATTAGAAGTATGTGAAGAATGATAATATGGTTAGGTTGGCCTCTTTTTCTGGAGGGTTAATTTAATTTTACATGTAGTAAAAAATAGTATATGTATATAGATATTTCGAGCTGAAAACGAGAGCCTTCAAACGAGCTTGTTCATGAACAAACGAGCCGAAAGGAGAGGTGTTTGAGATTGGCTCGTTTAATAAATGAGCCAAAGAATTTTGCTTGAGCTAACTAAAGGGACACGAACCGAGCTTTTGAGCTCGACCTGTTCGTCAAACGTTTGGTTCATTTACAACACTACTCGTAGTGCAACATTAGGTTGTAGTCTAGTTTGTAATCTGGCTAGTTGCTGGATATCAGAATAGTTTTTCATTTCTTCCTTCTTCTTTTTTTTTTTTTGAATTTTTTTATTTAAATTTTTTTTACACTAGAATAACTGGTTGCATTGGTCCATTGAAACCGGGGTCTTATTGAAGGTAAAGTGTAACATTATCAATTAAAATTTGTTTTAATGGTTAATGAACTTTAGAAAAATATTCACAAAACATGTTTTCTTCCTTCTTGAATTCCTTTTAGCTAGAAAGCTCCTTCAAAAGCTCTAATCAAGCCAGTACATTATTTGTTTGATCTATAAAGTGGCTTTGTGCTCATTGATGCTAATCATTTTTCTTATTAGTTGCATTGTCAAATGTTCTTCTTCTTCACGGAGATACTGGACATGGTTCCGTCTTGGGAGGAGTTGGGCCAACAATTATTATGCCAAGAGCTGGTTTTGGGAAAATGCAGTTAATTAAAGTAACATAATGTTACTACTAGAAGCATTAATTGTTAATTTAGTAATGACAAGTTTTTCCTCAAAAATGGAATTTTAAGAAAACGTTTTGCAGATTATTCCTCCTAGCTTTATATAGGAGTTAACCACATTTACAAACTCCGTATGTGTTCTTGTTGGTTTTTTATTGGTGTCATATGTAGAATCCTAGCTTTACAAAACCTTGTGTCTTCTAATGAGAATCAAGGACACTTTTACTTGGTAACCGTGTCCATGCATAATATTGACACTTGTAGTACACTCCCAAACATGTGTCAATCTTTAATGTGTCTATTTTAAACATTATGTTTTACTGTAGGATAGTGGCTGACACTATTGGAACTCACAGTGACGTGTCAGACACATTTGCATTTAGGAGAGCTTCTTTTTAGAATATTGTCATTATAAAAATGGCACAATAATAGGTGTTGCATATAATTTATTAAGATATGGACTATTTTCTTTTATAGAGATATAAAGAGGATTTTTAAGGAAAAATGGGTTTGGGGTGGGAAGGAGAGGAATATTGGTCATGTTATTGTGTACACTACACGCACAAAAGTGTGTTGTCTCTTATTTGCAATGGTGCCTCTTTTGAGAGTTCAACATGATTATCTGTCCCTACCTCATCGTACTTGTGTTCTTGCACATGCAATTAACATGATTCATTTCAAAGCAAGGATTAAGTCACATTTCACTGTCAAGTTCACGAGACCTTTGCCTTACAAAAGGCTCATGGTACACATATCTCGACATGAGTTCTCATCTCATGTTTGTGACATGTGCCTCTTACATTAAAAATCAGTTTGAAACCTTGTCCAAACTTTTCAAAATCCTTTTTGAGACACTTCTATGTAAAATCATGAACATTAAACCTATTTCTAAGTTTCCTCTCAAAACTCTTACCTTTAGCGCCGTCAATGCTCTGAATGTTAACAAGTGCATTTTCGGGGCTTGTTTTAGCTTTGGACATTTTGCATTCTTACTAGACATGAATTAAAATAAAAATACAACTTGGTTGCTTTGATTTTGGGTTTTTGGGAACACATTTGCTTACACATGATTGCATCACTTTACACATGAAGCATGGCAGAAGCGTAGCAAAAATTGAAATGATGAATTGTGTCACATTCAGACAATAGAAAATAGAAGCATTTAAAATGCTTCGTATAATTGATTGGACCTATTTCATCTTCTATAATTGTGTAGGCAAAGCTTTACCATGACATTCTCATGTTTTTACCTTGTCATCCTCGTCTACCTTGTTATACCAATGAATCTGCAGATTTCTTTTCACACATTTTCAACTGGATTTATTGCTACTTTTACAGCATGTGAACGCCTTGTCCTCCTGGAATCCGATTTGAAGGAATTAAGAGATTACGGTGTTCTTCTTTACCACTGTGGATTTTTTGAGGAATCGTTGCAATACTTCAAATTGTATAAAGACAAAAAGGTGTGTTTTAACTCCTGATTGGCAAATTAAAGCATGGCCTTCATTTTTCTGATTTACCAAATGAATTCCGTTTTGCAGAATTCTTCCATACCAGAGCCGTCATCCGATACATTTAGCCACCTAGAGGAAGACGCCGTGGAGAAACTAATTGTTCGCCTTAACCTCATTTTGATGGAGGAAGGTTGGACTAGGCCCTCGTACAATAAAAGTTTTCTGGGCAACAACTCCGAGCCATGGTAGTACCTGATGTGCATTTTTCATGTAATGGAGCCGAATTCCGTTGGTGTAAAGTTGGACGGTTGATAAATTGGACTCTTTGCCAATAATCCTATATATGGGCGCAATCGCATTCATGAATATTGCAATGTGCAGCCCTGAAAGCAGAGACGAGAACACTACCGATGAAAGGAGAAGACGTTGGGTGAAGTACCCATTGCATGATATCATGATCAAATGGTAGCTTATTCATTATGCGTGCAGTGTACTGAGAATTGATGCATCTTTACTCTGATGAACTCTAATTCTCACACTTTAAATTCATGCAAGTGTAATACTTTTCTCCTTTTCTGAAAGCAGTTAGTGTTTCTGTTATTAAAGGAAAAAATAAAAATAAATAAAAAGATGGTGTAAATAGTTATTATTGTGAATACTAGGATTGTAATGATTATTGGGATTTTTCTTTTTGTGACTTCGTTCTTCTATGAGTTTTGCCCTCTTTTTTTATTTTGAGTTCTTATTTTTGCTTTTGTATTATAAAGCTGAAGTTGAAAGTAGGTATCACAAAAATGTGAAAATTTTGAAGAATAGATTGGGGAGGTGAATACAAGCCAATAAAAATTTATTGTGAAACTAATGTTATTATATTAAGTTTTTGAACCTTATACACCATAAAGAAAGGTGTTGTACGAAAAAAAGAAAAATTTTGGTAAAGATGATAAATGCAATAATTTTTTATTTTGATTTAAAATTGATGTAAAATAATGAATTATGTTTCTCTTACTTGTTAGCTACTCAAAACACAGCACCACATTTAGATTCCTTAATATAACGTTTTGAATGTAATACTAACAAATCGAGGAGACTTTTTTTTACTTGCTTTGCTTATTGAAAAATTCAGTTTTCAAATTTACTTTCTAGTTCTATAAATTTCCTGCCGTTTGTGAGAACAAGTAATGCTCTTTTAACAAGTTTATAAATTGTTATGGAGCTACCGAAGAACCTGCCTATACAAGATTCGAGCCACTTAGCAGAAATTTTGTTCGACTATAGTTATTTGTTTCTTTTAGGTTATCATACATCAATATTTTTTATATCTTATAGATACTAAATAAACAAAAAAAAAAATACTGAAAAGGGATATTAATAAAAAAATACTAATACTCTTGTACTACGATTGATTAATTACATAAGTACAATCATCAATGTCTACATGCTCATTTGCATGTGCACTCTATATACAATAGAACATCAGTCATTTGCAATGGTTTGATTTCCTGCGGTTAATGTCTTGTTAATCTCTATGCAAGGTTTATCTCTTCTTATGCGGTTCGTTGAACCTACACCCGTTGCTGTCTGGACTGGAATGAGAGAGGAGCTAAGAATTTAGTCAGTTTGTTTCTTTAGTGAGCTTCAACAAGTAAATTAGTTACTTATGTACCAAGAGGGTGAAAATTTGAGTTTCCAAAAGAACAAATTGGGTGTGTGTTTCTTACCAATGACAAGAAAAAAAAAAACCCTTATGCCTGTTACAAACTCACGTAAACATCTCTTATATACACATCTTCGATTTATTTTTTCTTTTTCAAGTCATGTAAATCATATACTAAAATTTTGAAATAACTACTTTGAAAGCTTGTTGTTTTCTTTTCCTCATTTCTTTCTCTTATTTTTTTTAGTTTCAATTTTAGCAACTCTCATATAGGTCTGAAAAGTACAAAGTCAAAAAAACATAATAATAATAAAATAAATAAATAACTTGAATTAATTTCATTGGTATAGAAAAGAAAAATTTTGAATTAATTTTATTGGTATAGAAAAGTATTAGGACAGCCAAAATAATATATTTATGCATAAAGATAGATGAAATAAATAGAGAAAAAGAGAGTCCCAGGGCATAGCGACATTGGGAGGGATCCTAAAAGGTAAGTCTTGGAGGTCTAGCTTTCAAACTGCACTCCTAACTTGAATGGTGCTTGTATTGTAGAGTCAATACACTTGCTCTAAAAAAAAGAGAAAAAAAGAAATGATACACTTGCTCTAAAGAATATATATATATATATATGTGTGTGATTAAAACCTACCGAGTTCTTGGATTAAATTCCTGTTAGCGCTCCTATGGAGAACAAAAAGGCAGCAGAAATTGACCATTGAAAGCGTAATCTCTGATGATATCAATTTTGGGAAGAGGGTCTTTAATTGAAGAATGTGAATCATATAGTGGGATATGTATCCTTTTTAACTTAGTTGAGCAATATGTGAAGAATCTGAAAACTAGAAGACGTTTGGAAGTGTGATCGGTCATGGCTTGTTCAAAAATTATATTTGCTTTTGTTTTAACTCGAAATAGAAATAATATTTCTGTATTCAATATTATTTAGAAGACTGTTTAGAAATGTATATTTGTTGCAAGATTGCTGAAAGCAAAAATACGAAAATACGTTTCATAAAAACGCATTATTCACGAAGGACGATGACTCTTCAAGTAATTTTGAGCCATGTTTCTCAATCGTTCGCGCTTTCTTTAGATTTTATATATATGCACACACATCTTGCTTTGTTCTAATTTAAATCTCTACAATGTTGGAGGGTGATTGGATTTAAGGGCCGATGGAAATGAGTTGTTAAATAGTTACTATTTTCGTCCCATATTAGTTGTCTGCTTGAAAAACTTTGATTCACAATTTTTGTGAATCAAAATTATCAAAGTAGACATCTAATATGGGATATAGATAATATATAAGTATATAAATACTCATCAATCATGACTTTTTAGATTAACAGTATTGCAATTTAAGAGAGCCTTTTTGAGAGTATTTTTGTAAAAAAATCATATTGCATAAATAGTTAGAAAGTGAAATTTCGGCATTACAAAAATTATATATGGAACAAATGAGCAATGAACACTTTCAACCTCAATTTGGATCCAGAACACCCATAACATACAAATCATATATAAATCAAGAAACAAAAATAATCTGATCATACCAAGAAAGTGTAAATTTACATGTGGGACAAGCATGCAGTGAAAAGGAAGGGAGACGATTCAGTATGTTCAGCTTAAAAAGAATTTCATTTCCATTTCAATTTCAATTTCAATTTCAATTTCCTTCTGTACATGTTTATCGAGTGCCGAAATCCCAGAGACTCGTAAACTTCTGGGAAGAAAAAAAAAATGAAAATTAGGTACAAAAAGTAATTCTAGCTCAGGTTTGCACTTAGTCAAACTTCATTTACAGTTGGAACAGTCCTGAGTAGCTTCCATTTTGATTTCAAGCTAAACCACACTACTAAAACACAACTGTAACTATAAATAAAATGGGATTGTGAGAAGGGCAAAATACTGCAATGCCTGATTACTGAAATGCATATGCTGGCAGCCACAATTCATTAACCAGTGGTCATGCTGAATTGCTGAAACGGTTATACCTTCTGCCATTAAGCACTGTCGTGACCAGCTACACACCTACCAGTTTCAAGTTAAAGATCCGGGGTCAGCAGTCAGAAACTTCAACCATCTTCTGTGAAAACTTTGAAGATGAAATCTCGGAAACGTCTTGAATACTGCTTTGGATCAACAGCAGAGATTGACGTCGCGTCATATTGGATTGATTTATACGCGTGCTCAAGCTTCTTGCTAATATCGTAATCTTGTAATATATCTATGATACCAAAGACTAGGATGACATCATAGAACTCTCCTGTTGGTTCTCCAACTAGCTGAAACTCGTTATCTGTTCTTCTCACTGTTTGTTCAGCTCTTGCTGGCATATTTATACCTAATTTGATGGATGCCCACCTGCAAAACTCAATTTTAGATGGTGAGGAACGCAAAGGCACGGTGTCACTTTACTGAGATTAGAAATGATAATATAAAAATACTTTTAAGTTTGGAGTTTGGTTTGGAATTACATATTGTTGGCTATTCGTAAAGATGGGAGACAAGAACCATCAACAAATTGTGTGTGTTCAGAAATCATTCCAAAAGAAGAAGAGAGAACAAAAAGAACAAATAATTGGATTTTGGACATGGGAAATCCACGATATGGGGAAGAAAAGTAAATTTGAAGAGTGTGTGAATGATTCAAGAGTCATATGAATTATTGATGGCAGACTTGATGGCTGATGAAGAAGTTTTGTATAGTTTGGAACTCGACCAAAAGTCAGTTATCACAATGTTCATAAATTTGTTATTACAATGTTGATAAGTTTGTTTACCTGGCCGGATCACAAAGAAGCTGATCTATGTCTGCTTCTGAAAGTCGAGGGACTACATCTTCACTAGCATGGTCTTCATGTGCTGCAAGATATGTTCAAAAATCAAATGAGCTGTCAGCAATTGTTTAAGTAGAGATTTGAAATAGGGAGGATTGTAATGGAAAGGGTAAGAGGAAAACCAGTAGGAGTGAGAAAATCAGTAGGAGTGCGAACTCCAGAACATGAAGTTTCTCGAAAGTGAAGACCGAGCAAAAGACTGTAATCCATAATTCCCTCCTGTTCAAGAAATTCGCAGTCCCTGTCCACTTGCCTGCATGAAGGAAGATTTCAGCTTACAAAAAGAAAAGAGTAAATATAGAAGTGATCACCAAAGAATGCAAGCATCCTATTTTGAACTTGCGTTTGCAGTTATGTGAATGTTTGGACATGAAAGCATATGTAAGCTTTTAATTATATATTCACACATACACAAACACATATAGGCACATATAAACAAACATATAAGTATCTTTTGAAAGAATTATGCAAAATAAATGAAAGCTTCGAAAAAACATGCTTTACACAATCAACATGACCCTGTTTATGACGGTTTTCTCACAAAATGCAACTTGGTTATAAAAAACTACCTGTAAATCTATCAACTAGTTTGGTGATAGCAAAATCATCACACTCTTGCTTTTTCCATAGAAATAATAGGTGATTGCTTGTTAGTAATGGTATTTCGAGAGCGACGACGAAAATATTGTGACTAACTGGTATACAAGGTTTAAAAGAGACTAGTGACACTAAAGGTACTGGGAATCATGTAAACCCATTGGTTACTAAGGGGCCTTCAAAAAATGGTTGTCATGTGCCAATTTCTGCAAAGCAGAGCAGAAATTGAGGTGTGAGGATCATTTTTCTCATCACATCTTCTAGTCAAAACATATTTTTTTATAAAACCTTTAAATTGACGTCTTTTTAGTACATATAGATCATCTTAAAGTTTTCAGCTCTACTTCAGACAAGAAAAAATATCTTGTTAATCCCTATTTTCTCTTATGTACCTCAGCTTCCCTTTTTTTCCCCCCCTCAATTGTCCTCTCTTGCCTCAATCCACCTTTGTTCCTTGAGCAAATGTAAAACAATAGGTATGAGCATATAATGCTCAGTAGGTGAATCATAACCTAAAACAGTCCATCTTAAGATATTTTCTTAACTAAACCCTTGCACTTTAGCCTTCTTAGTGTGGAAGACTCGCCACTGCTTCACAAAACTGTCAATGCACTTCCAATAACATACCTTATTCCCCCTACCCATCTTCCATAGATCTGCCAATACCTATCTAATTCTCTGCTAATACTTGATTCTTAATATTCTACATTCCATTACCAAGAATCCCTAACACCAACTCATCCGCAATCCAAATATCCTCAACTCTGACACACCCTCAAAATCACATTAATTTAATTAAACCGACTCTTAGTTAATTCTGTGGCACACCCTCAGATCTTAGTTAACTTAATCAAACTGGCTCTCAATTTACTCCCTAAACCTTAATATCACTTTCGTTTTGCTCCAAGCAATTCTCAACATGATCACTTGTTCAGTCATCAGGTCTCATACTTTTTGTCATGACCCCTAACCACCTCGCAATTTTAAAAAACAAAACTTATAGTCAGAATTCAAATCACAATCCTAAATCACTAGCCAACACTCACACTACATGTAAGATCCCTAGCCACAAGACTCACAACCCTACTAGCAACACCAATCACATCGGGTGAGACCTCTACTCACAACCCAACTCTAGTCAAAATGTCACATGTACACCCCGGTCACATGCCACTCTCAGCATCTGAAAACACCAGGTCAGACCCGTGGTTACAAGCCAGACCAGAACTCAAAAATAATTTCACCACATACAGGTTCAGACCTGCGGTTCACAACCCACAACCACAGCACATGAAAACAACATGGTAACTTGCATACTACCAGCCAACACTTACTCAACAACACTTGCTCAGCATACCACATACAGGCTTCAAAGCAAAATAACACCAAGTTCACTGGCTCATCTTCCTTGAATGGTTACCCCGGTAGCTCCTACCAAAAGGGTTGACATCCCCAAGGGGGCTGAAACTTCACTTAATGAGGTCACCTCTATCCATAAGCCCTCGACCTCAGAGCAGTCACCTGCACTGACTTTTTCGTTTAATGAGGTCACCTCTGTCAAGAGGCCCTCTTCCTCCAGGCAGCCACCTACTCGGGCTCTTCCAACCAAATAGGTCACTGCTTGTATGGTTATTCCTACAAGAACTCACCAACCGCGGTCTTCCAACACCTTGGTCACCACTCTTTGGCTCTCTTCTCAGGATGAAGATCACCCTTAAAGAGTCACGGTCCCTGGCTTTAACTGTAGTTACCACGAGAGGGAATTGTCCAAAGAGGTCCCTGCATTGCTCTTCCCTTAAATGGATCCAACAGTGGTAGTCTCACAGAAAGGGTTAACATCCCAAAGAGCCCCTACCCAAATCATCTCTTGCAGTTTACCATGCTGCCGGACCTCTTCCCGCACTATAAAGTCACTGATTGTGTGCTCAACTCAACCACCTCCATGCCCTGCTTATAATCACGTACCATTCAAGGTGACAACCACAACAATGCAACTTGTCATAAATCCACATTATTCTGGTGACATGTCTGCAACCATACCATGCGCAGCCAAGCTTCTAGTTGATCTTTCTCGACTTGGTCAATCAAACAGCTGTTCGAGCTCAAGTCGATCTTACATATGAGTGTTTGAGCTTGGCTTGGATATTGGTTGTCAAGCTCAAGCTAGGCTTATTTTCCTTGTTTAACCAATTTCAGGATCAAATTTAAGCTCCTTGTCAAGCTCAAGATATTAAGATTAATAAGGAGATAATTTTCATTACAAACCCAAACAAGCCCTAACAATGAACCATGTTTGCGAGACTTAATGTTGATTCATAGACCCATGTTCACAACTATGTTACAAGCTTAATAAGTGTCATGCATTATTTGTGCTTGGCTCGCCTACTTAATGAGTTCAAAAATGTTATTCGAGCTCGACTTATTTACTTAGCAAGTGAACAAGAACCAAGCTGATCTTATTGGCTGAGTAATACTAGTTTTTATCCTTCAGCAACATTCTGTTTTAAAATGTAGAAAATTTGAACACTATTTTGGCAGCACAAAAGTGCCTTTTTCTGCCACAAAAACATTTAAGGAAAATTCAGTTGGTTGTGCAATATTAACACAACTGGCTCTTGAATCAACTCTTTGACTAAATGGAGCTGTATAAGGTCAAGTGGCAGCACATAGGTTTTTATGTACTAGGATGAGAGTTGTGAAAAATGCACAAGTTTGTGTCCCTGTGAAATATCTGGTGAAAATATAAGAGCAGAAGCAGGAATTGACTCTAATGCTAATTATGAAAAAAAAAAAAAAAAAAAAAAAAAAAAAAAAAAAAAAAAAAAAAAAATAATGGAAAAAGAAAAAGAAAATTGACTCTAATGTTGTTACACTTTTGTTGGAATATCCTATTTCCCCACTATTTGAAATATAGTTGGTTCTAGTTCTCTCTCACTGTTACACAATATACCCCATCCATATGGGGATAAAGGCAAGGATGATGATGATGACTGTTATTGTTGTCTCCTGGTTTCTTGCTAATTGCAGTTGAAGTTATGTTAACACTCTTGCTCTCCTTGGAAACTACAATTTTTTGTCAAATGTATATGTAAATAAATATGTCTATTACTGATTTAAAAAGTTCACCTGCAAAAGTCTTGGAACCAAAGTTTCTGCAATCGGAAAATGAATTTGAGATCAAGATCCTTAAGGGTTGTTGTTGCATCAATTTCAGCATCAGGTTTATCAGTTGTGCGGCCAAGAGAAGAACCTTTCAAGTCAAAACGCCTGTGAATTGCGTACTCGGTACAGAACAAATTCCCCATAATAACAAATCGTACCTGGATCATTGATGCCAAAAAATGAGTATAAAGTACAACTGCTGATTAAAAATGGTGTGTGATTTAGACAAATCTTAAAATTCAAATTTGGGTTTGTTTACTTTCAACTTTACCTTCTTTTGGGCAGGCCCAGTTAACTTCACACAGTGAAGGCCATAAAATTTTGTGACTAGAGTGTTTTCAAAGGCTCGAACATGATTATAATACGCTGGAAGCATCCTTATTAGAACCTGTAGTGGTTTAGATCAATCAAAATCGTTTGTTAGAACTTAGAATATCATATTTTGAAATTTGCAGTTGTGAAATGGAAATTCTGGAGCCAATGTAATTACTTGGAGAAGGTTCAAAAATGAATTTGAGTTGCAAAAATGCATGCCTTAGAAGAAGTTACATGTTCGTATGGAATTATTTGCAATAATTCAAAAGTTTACCAAAATATGGGATTTTTGCAGATTGCTCATGCAATAATAAACTCAGGCAGTTGGGTGAATTTGAATTATGCAATGAAAATATCAGCATAGTTCTGGAAAGTTTTATATGAATTACATACTCTATTTCAGTGCTTGTAAAAAGATCCGTGAAGGAAAACTGTATTCAGTAATCCAGTGGTTTTAACTCAAATTTATAAACAAGTAAGCAGGAAAATGAACTCACTTTACATTCCGACTTCTTCATGGTCTTTATCATGTACTTATCATCATGGGTCAAATAAAAGAAGCTTCCACTTTTTCCAGGGGATGAAAGCTCCCGAAGGGCATCATTCCCACATATGGACAACATGTAATCAGCTGGATCCACCTTGAACAATTTCCTTAGAGACCTGCAAATATTCATTGTGATTTATGGGGCCTTGTTTTTTTTATTCTTTTTATAGTAAGCAATTTATGAGGCAATTTTGTATAATAATTATAATTGTGTTATGCTTCAAACACAGTAGTTAACATTCAACTACTGCATATATGTGAGACATAAAATGAATCTCTGGTTTATTTTAAGAACTTCATTTAAATAATTTGAATTGAAAGATCATAGAATTTGCTAGGAATGGATTATCAATCTCCTGCCCAAAAGACCACAGCTTTGGGAACTTTTATCTTTCTTCAGGATACTTCCACATAGTACCATGTCCAGCCTTAATAGGAAATGATCAAACACATACACAACGAGGACTGAAAATCTGCTTGTTGATTGTTGAACAGGGGTTTATGCAGATTAAATGAAATATGTCAGAGGCCTCACCTGAAAACCAATGGGCAGTAATCTTTCCATCTAAAATCACATGACTGGTGAGGAGGAGTATGCTTGGATCCTTCAGGAGGAAATTTGGTCCATACTTTTTCCTTGGGATCAAAAGCCGAAGCTCTCAAATCAAGCGATGTAGCTGGGGCAGGCCTTCCAACTGAATGTCTGTGCAGTGGCACTAGAAATGAGTCATAAGATAAAACTTATAATTATACATAAAGATATAATAACATCATTCTCAGGCGTGGAAGCATTCATTGTGAAAAAAAATTATATCACTAGCATATTTACTTTTCACTCAATCTTAAGGAAGTGAATTTTTTTTTTTTTTTTACTTTTGTTGTGCTAGAAGCTAAAGAATCCTTACATAAATTGTGGATCAGACAGATTTTAGAGAAAGAAAACCCTCTAATGTACTAAATTTAATTTTCCTTTTCCTTCAATTGAGAAACATATAGAAACACTGGCTTGGTATTAACAATTTAACAACTTTCTGAAATCAAAGTGTGTAAAAGCATGGATTTGGTCTTTATCTATTTAACAAAAAGCATATGCATATTACTTATTAAAAAAAAAAAAAAAAAAAGCATATGCATATGAATTCCTTTTTTTCTTTTTTCTTTTTCCTTTTTATTTTTTGTGTGTCTTTTGCTTTTTCCCCTGATGCCCCACACTGCACCTTGTTTTCCTTTCAGACATGACAACCAATTTCAGAATCATTGTTACATCAGTTCATCTAACAATATCCCTTTCCACCTTAATTTTGCAACAATCAGTGAAAGTTTATATGCATCAAGGCTTTTTGAAGTTTTTTGAGCACTTTATGTTCACCATTACTAAAAAGTCTACCATGTTTCACTTACATATGACTTGTAACTCTTCATTTATTCAAGATATTGTGTTGCAGAGAAACCTTTTAAAAGTTTAACAGTAGAAATGAAAGGTCTGTAAGCTGAGACAAATTACGTATGGGAAACACTGTTGTTTAATGATGATCTAGAAAGTTAATCTCGAGAGCTTGTGCAAATCATAGTGCCAATTGAAGTGGGAAAACAACATTATATAAGGTAAAAAACAAAAAGAAATTTAAGCAGTTACAACTAATCTTCAGCCAAAATCATTCATAAACCATATTTGCGTAATAGGATAAAACTCAACACTCTACTCAAAGGGTCAAATAAAAAGGGCACAATCAGAGTATAAAGGGAAAGCTGAAATGGCTTTCATTAACGAATACCTTATTCCAAGTTGCAGATTAAGCATAAGTTCATAATTCTTATGCCCTTTAGCTATTGTCTCCCCCTGTTTCTTCATGGGTTGTATTCTAATAGGTTGCGGTCGGTTCCATCTTGATGTATCCAAACCATCCAGCTCAAGGTTCCCTAAGCCTTCTTCCACCTCTCTCCCTGCCACTGGATGGCCATTTACAACGTCAGAATCAACATCAGCATCGGAGCCCCAGCAATTGCTATGCCTGCCGTCCACAGACAATCTCCTAGGCCTCCCATCATTTGATTTTGAAGACTTCCATAGTGGCTGCTTCTGCAAAAACTCCCCATCCATTCCAAAATTAAGCATCTTCTGAGAGGGCAATATCGAAATCTTTTCTCCAGGACATATCTCACAATCATTCAAATCAACCGAGTACACTTGTTGAGGATCCCAATCAAAATTACCCATCTGTGATCCTGAAGGATAATAAGTCCCACTCTGCTCCTTGAGGTCCTTACTCCACACACCAACATAAAAACTCCCATCTTCCCATCTAAATGTTCCATTTCCTTTAGGCAATCCATCATCCCAACACCCATCATATCGATTTCCATTAGCCCAAATCATTGTTCCGGTATCACTCATCTTGCCAAATTTCCAATGCCCTATATACTGGTTACCATTCAGCCATTGGTACCGCCCCTGGCCTTCCTGCATTCCTCGGCGCCAGTCACCATCATAAAAATCCCCATTTGCATAATGCTTAGCCCCCTTTCCATGCTTCAAATTCATCATCCAAGAACCTTTATAGGTATCATTTGAAGAACCGGTGTAAGTTCCTTCCCCATCCATATACCCATTCTTGAACTGACCCTCATAGGTGGCACCAGAGGGCCAGCTGAACCTACCCTTGCCCATTGTCTTGCCTTTGTACCAATCACCAACATACATACACCCATCTGCCCACAAGTACTTCCCATGACCATGGGGAACGTTTTCGGACCACTGCCCCGTATAGTAGTCGCCATTGTAGAAAATCTTTTCGGCATGATAGGCATCGCAGCCACCGGCATTGCTCTCGTCTTCATCGGCATTAGTCACTGACATTGTTGTGAAAAAACTGTTTGCCCTTTTCTTTGCAGCTGCTTGTGTTTTACGCACCGTTGCTTCCCAGGCCTTGACAATGCCGCCGTATTCTTTGCTCATTCTCTCTCTAGAACTACCTCCCTCTCTCTCTCTAACCGTACCTCTATGACATTTTCTTTCTCAACCCAGATCAGATTTTCTCTGTATCGTCAATGTGACCTTCAAATCCAAATCAACAACCATTTCTACTACAAACCCACCACCACCAAGAGGTAGAGAACAAAATGCTCAAGAGCTCAAACACTCAAATCAACGGAAACAAAAACAACGAGTGTTTGAATTCCATGTTTAATGTGTTCTTTTGTGGTGGAATGGGTGTCTGTTTTCTATGATTACTTGAAATGGGTGTCTGATATTTTTGAAGAATGAGAGCTGGTTTTGGATTATGGGAAAGCAAAAGGAGAAATGGAACCAATGACTGGCTTTTTCTTTGGTAGATGATTTTTTTTTTTTTTTTTGCCCTTTTTTCTTTTTCTTTCCTTTCTTTTTCTTTGATAGAGAATGAACCAGAGAATCAACAACACATGGTTCTATGTTTCCGGCTTTGGCTCCTAAATATACTAACAGACCACACAGTTGGGAGGATGAGAGGAATGGTGATTGTGGGGGAGACGATGGGTTTGCCATTTTTAGTGTCTCAACTCAATCAGACCAAAAACCTAAATAATACTAATTTTAGTACTAAATAAATGTCTTTATAAGGGGTGGCTTATTCATTCTATCTTCTTTTTCTCTTTGGGCGGGGAGGGTGATTTGGGAATTTATCATCCCAAAACATGTTACCGTCTCCTTAGAAAAACTACATATAAATAGTATTAAGAGTTTTAAATAATAAATTGATCAATTTTAAAAGGTAATTTTTCATATTGATTGAATTAAACAAAATAATTATAAATGCATAAAGAATTATTATTAAGGTCCGAAATGGCCTTACACTCTTATTACAAAATACCAAAAATATCCTTCTTAAAATTATCTAATTTTAAATATTAAAATAAATAATTAAAAGTTAGTTTAACTAGCAAATAAAAATACTCCATCTCTTCTCTTGGTCGTCCATCACATTGGATTACCCTTTGGAATTGATATCATGATCTGAAAGATAAGAATTAAAAAGGAAAACTCTACAAGCTTACTATGGTAGTGATGGTATATCACATAGAAGATTTTTCAATTGTTACCTAAAAGAAATTATTATTATTGTTAATATATTAGAAAATGTCAAAACGGGATTTATTAAGGATTTCATATCCTAAGCAGTAAGGTAATAAAGTATTGAAATATCCACCTGCATTTCTTTTTTTTTTGTCTAGAGGTCTCTAGTTGTTGTTCCTTCTTCAATCAATTATTAAAAATCACAATAAATTTTGAGATGCCAAATTGATAACCCCATGCAAGAACCCTAAATTCATAAGATATAACATAATCTAAAGCCTACAGAGTCCTAGATCTGAAACTCCTGAACAAAAATATAACATATTTATATTTATATGTGGTGTGAAGAGAGAGAGGGAGGGAGACCTAGAAGACCTGCGAAGTGGGTAATGCCTGGACATTGGTGGTTGATTGACGACGAAGGTAAGTGATAGAGAATTAGTATTTGCTAGTCAAACTAATTTTTAATTATTTATTTTATTATATTGAAATTATATAATTTTAAGGTGGATATTTTGGGATTTTGAAATAAGATTGTGAGGATATTTTGGACCTGACCAAAAAATATTGATGTATTTGTAATTATTTTGCTTAATCCAATCAAAATAGAAAATTAACTTTTAAAATTGATCAATTTGTTATTTATGGCTCCTAATTTTATCAATGTGTAGTTTCCTTTGAAAAGAAACTAAGTAATAGAAATGAAAAAGTGCACCCAAAAAAAAAAAAATTGAATGAAAAGCAATATTCATGATACATGGTTAGCATGAAATTCTTTCAGAATAAAATTGAAATAATGTGGGCCAGCATAATTGGAACGACCTTAAATGATCGTTTTTTGGAATTTTACTATTTAAGGAATGGATTTTAATATGTTAATTATATTGGTAGTGCAAGTATTAAATGTATCCATAATGGTCCACATTATACTTTTTATAAGTTCAATTAGGATTGTTAATTTGTCTTCATGGATCATCGTGTAGTGTCTATATAAGAATATTCTATTCAAAAGGTAAATTAAAATTCGACTTATTTAATAATCATATTAGTAACCCTCAATACTAACCTGACTCATTTATTAAATGAGTCATGTTTATCAAAATAAGATATTTAATATTCAATCAAATAATAAATATTATAAAAAATCAATACTAACCTGACTCATTTATTAAATGAGTCATGTTTATCAAAATAAGATATTTAATATTCAATCAAATAATAAATATTATAAAAAATTTGTTACAATTAAAATAAGAAGAAGAAACATAAGGCGTAGTCAAGATTCATGTTGAAATGACTTAACTATCCATAATAATTAGGTTTAAACAAGTAACATATTATCTAGGTAATATTCACGATTATGACATGTTGAGTTAAACGGGTATAAACAGGTTACACGGGTTGACCTCCCTCAACCTTAACCCGACACGGTAAAATAAATAGTTTAATCGTATCAACCCGTTTATGACCTGAACCCATTTAAGGATAATCCAAACCTTCTTATCTCGTGTCGTGTTAGGGGTCGTATCGTAATTTGCCACGCCTAAGTTAAATGTTAGAAAGTTAAATTGGTAATATTATAAAAATAATAATAATTTGATTTTTCAAATGGGACATTTCTTTTGAGACAACTAAAAATAAAGAAGTGGACATTTATTTTGGGACGAATGGAATATTATAATATTGAAAAAGTTTATTTGACCCTTAAACTTGAAACTTATTATTATTTTTTTCAATTCCAATTTAAAGATAACAATTCTATGTTATGGAATATATCAAAATAAAAACTTCATGTTATGATTTGAATGGTATGAAAGATGACATTGTTTTTATTTACATTAATTTTTTTTTCATTACTTGCATTAATTGTACCAAGAAAATTTCAAAATGGGACTATTATATTTTATTATAAATTATAAATCAACTTGGGAAATTAATGTTATTTCGAAAATCAAGTCTAAGTGTTTGCCCAACTCTAATATGAATGAATTAGCTACTAAATCCAATTCTCAGACCTTAAGGCTGCAAACGAACCGAGCATAGCCAAACCGAGTTTTAGGTTGCTCGAGCTTCTTTGTTATAGGCTTAGTTGGGCCCGGGATCGTGATGAGTTCAAAAAATTGAGCTCGAGCTCATCATGGCTTTAAAAAGTCTGGGCTTGGCTTGGCTCTTCTCATTTAAGAAAACAAATTAAACTCATGTTTAAAATCAGTTCGGGCTCATTTTCAAGCTCGCCAAACTCGTTTAATAAATCATTACATTTTTATTTTATACTTCCAAAGAATAAATAATTAATGAAAAATAGAAATAAATATAAACAAGCCCTGTGACGAGCCTACGGGTCACGAACGCATATGAGCCTATGTTCACGAGCATATACGAGCCTACACGAGGTCATATTCACGAGCCTAATATTGTTCGGGATCAGCTTGTAAACTATATGAGCTCGAGTTTAGCTCATTTGCTTAAAAACGAGTCCGAACTGAGCTCTAAACAAACCAAGCCCGAGTTGTTCACAACTCGGTTCATATGCAACCCTAGGCCTCAAGGGACTCATGGTGGGAAAAATAGTAGTGGGCACAACTAAAATACTCAAAATTTAGAGTCTATTTCTTGTAACAAAAAGTTTAAGGTTTTTTTTTTTTTTTTTTCTTCGTCTTTTAGGAAATTTTGGAAGCGAAATCAAGTATTTGAAGGAAACTTTATTTTTCCTACCTTTCTTGTTTTCTCTTTTCCAATTTTTTTTTTTTTTTTTTTTTATTTTTTAAATCCTAAACAAACAAAGTCTTATATCAAAATCCCATGACACAAGTCAAAATAAATGGACTATGATAGTGATGGTTGGGGACAAATAGTTGGGGGAAGAAATCATGTCTGAGTGTTGGCCTCTATTAATAAGTTAATCTTGCTCAATTAAAGTTGATAATATTGTACAATCAACAAAGCTTTGTATTGAATGGTATTTTTATTTATTTTTTTACCTTTTCAAAGATTGAAGTTGTCAATTCAAATCCTCACTTAAAATTTGTTGTGTGCAAACTTATTATTAGTCACATGATTCGTCCAAGGGCATTTGAGTTCCCAAATCACACGTTTTTAAGGTCCGTTTCACGTGCAATAGCATATGTAACACCGAGAATCTCACGTGATTGCCCCACAACAGAAGCCATGCTCACGCGTAATTTGCTCCAAGAGTGATGACTTTTGTAGTAAATTTATGTTTCGTTTAAATGTAAAATATTTTTTTTTGAATTTGTTAGTGTTTAATTGTTGTAAAATATTTATGAAGAAAAAAATTATTAAAACTTAATAAAAATAATTTATTTCTCAATTTTTGATAAGTTATTTATACGCCCAACGGATGGATTCGACCTCAACTTTGATCTAAACTCATGCCAAATATCGAAAAATAAAAATAAAAAAATATATTTTATCCGAAAAAAAATATTTTATGTCGAAACAAACAAAACCTAGTATAATAATTTGGAAAAGTTAGATGCATTGTTTGAAACCATACAAGAGAAAGATGCTTAGACATGAAAATTTGTTTTTACCCGTTATATTTATGTTGGGTCAACTTAATAGTATTTAATTATATATGTCTAACTCTAAATACAATTCGGGTAATAATTATATCAAGAATTCTTTACATGAATAGAATCTGTTTATTCGAAATAAAATGACACGACTTTCAATATATATATATATATATATATATATATATATATATATATATATATATAATAAAAGGAGGCCTAATTCATGACTCGACATGTAAATAATTTATTCTTCTGTTTTTAATTATAAACTGCATGTATAATTAAAATAAGGATAAAGTGCCAAAAAAAAAAAAAAAAAAAAAAAAAAAAAAATTCTAAACTATAACGCTTTGCAACCAACGTCCTGAACTAAAAATTGGCCCATAAATTATTGATTTGTTGCAATTAAAGACAAACCCATCGTAAAAGACTATTTTACCATTTCTCATTAAATTTGCCATTTTAATTAAATCATTTTTATTATATTTTCTCTTATTTAAATATTAATTATACTATATACCTTAATTTTATTATTAGTATCAATTTATCATAAAAATTTAAAAAATAAATAAATTTATGACTAGCATTTTCTAAAACGATTAAATTATTATTAAAATTTTATTATTTATAATAAAAACTTATTATACCAAGTTTAAACAATTTAACAATAGAAAAATACCATATTTTCATACTAAATATTGATGAAAATTTAATAAATCACTTAAATAAAAAATACCTTCATTTTCATGTAATATATTCATGAAAAATTAAGAAAATAATTAAATTGTTTTAAAATTTTCTACCTGTCATTTTTATTTAAACAATTAATTTAAAAAATTAAACGTAAATTTATACAAATTTAATGGGGGAAATTAGTTTTGTTTTCATAATTTATTTCAATAAGAAAAATAGATTAAGTGTAATTCAATAAGAAATAGTATTATGGTCATTTAATGCAGTATAGTTTATGCATTGGAGCACTTTGCAACAAAATGTGATAGTTCATGAAGTATTATGCACAAAATA